TGTGATAAGAACAAGCCGTCGGCGGAGCGAGTGACGGAGATGCCGAGAAAGTGATGGAGTGCACCCAGATCAGTCATGGCAAACTCTGAGTGGAGACACCCAATGATCTGTTGTAGAAATGCCGTCGAGGACGCAGTAAGTACGATGTCGTCGACGTACAGAAGCAGGTAGGCCATACTGGTCCCGTCTTTGTAGACAAAGAGGGAGGTGTCGGAAGCCGAGGCGACGAAGCCGAGCTGGCGAATGTAAGTCGCAAAACGCTGGTATCAGGCTCGGGGAGCCTGCTTGAGGCCGTAGAGGGAGCGCTGCAACAGACACACATGATCAGGAAAAACAGGATCGACAAAGCCTGGGGGCTGCTGGCAGTAGACGGTCTCCTCCAGATGTCCATGGAGGAAAGCGTTCTTGACGTCTAGCTGATGAATAGGCCAGGCGCGTGAGGCAGCAATGCTGAGGACAGCCCGTATGGTTGCTGGTTTGACCACCGGGCTGAATGTCTCGTCGTAGTCGATGCCGTGGTGCTGGGAGAAGCCACAAACCACCCAGCGAGCCTTATGACGGGCGAGGGTACCATCGGAGTGGTACTTGTGCTTGAAGATCCACTTGCCGGTGACCACGTTGGCGCCGGGTGGCCGGGGCACGAGGCGCCATGTTCCGTTGTCGATGAGCGCCTTGTACTCCTCAGCCATGGCCGCACGCCAGTTTGGATCAGCCAAACCGCTACGGTAGTTGGAGGGAAGTGGAGACGGAGTGGTTGTCGCAGAGAGCCCCACATACCGCATAACCGGTATGGCCCTAGACTGGGTCCGCGTGATGCGTCGTTCCTGCTGTACGGGAGGTGCCGAAGGAGCTGCGGGCGCCATTGGCTGCTGTACAGGAGCAGTAGCCGGCTGTACAGGGGCAGTAGCCTGCTGAACAGGGGCCGGAGGCTGTTGAGCAGATGTAGTAGCCGATCCTGGTACTGTAGACGCCGGCTGTAGACAAGCCGGATGTCCTGTGGGACAGCCGCTGGAGGGGCAGCCACTGGAGGAGCAGTTGGAGCCGGGGCAGGCGCTGGAGGAGCAGCAGGTGGTGGAGCTGCTGCTGGTGGAGCAGCAGGAAGTACAGGGCCGTGGAACAAGATGGCGGGGTCGTCGGTCAGCTCCTCAATGAAACTGGGATGTGACGGCCCAGCAGCAGAGGGCAAAGGTGCAGGACGCACCGGCACTGTAGTACCTGCAAGCAAAAAATCCAGGTCGCTTGGCGAGGACCTGGAGGGGTAAAGCCCGAAGGGAAAACAAGTCTCATCGAAGACCACATGGCGAGAGATGATGACGCGCTTAGTGGCCATGTCGAGGCAGCGGTACCCCTTGTGGGAAGATGGATAGTCGAGAAAAACACATGCTGTGGAGCGAGGAGAGAGTTTGTGGCGAGCCGTGGCGGTCAAGTTCGGATAACAGAGACACCCAAAGACACGTAAGTGGGAGTACTCGGGAGGTTTGTTGTGGAGGAGAGTATATGGAATGCCGTGGCGAACAGCGGAGCATGGACGCTTGTTCAGAAGGTATGTGGCTGTGGCGAGCGCCTCAGCCCAGTACTGAGCAGGCATGTGTGCATGGAGGAGCATCGTGCGACTGATGTTGTTCAATGTGCGAAGAAGACGTTCAGCCTTGCCATTTTGTGGGGAGGTATATGGACACGAGAGGCGTAAATGAATAACACGGGAAGCAAAGAGAGTATGGAGGGTACTGTTTACGAACTCAGTGCCGTTGTCGGCTTGGATAGCTTTGATGGCAAGGCTGAATTGAGTGTGGACATAATTGCAAAAATTTGCAATATGTATGGAGACTTCAGATTTGCGAGTGAGGGGAAAGGTCCAACAGAAATGAGTAAAATCATCAAGTAAAACGAGATAATATTGATACCCGGATACACTTGCAACCGGGGATGTCCATACATCACAGTGAACAAGTTCAAAAGGCATGGAAGTATATGAACTGGAATCTGAAAAAGGGAGGCGCACATGTTTGCCAAGCTGACAAGAATGACATAGCAGTTGCTCTACTTTATTACAGCTGATGGACGCATTACGACGAAGAATGTCGATGGTGGCGGAGCTGGGATGACCAAGACGGTGATACCAGAGGTCGGTGGAGATGGCAATGCTGGCGTGTGGAGCGGAAGATGCAGCAAGGAAGGTGTAAAGATCACCAGCACTATTGCAGCGAAGCATCACGCGTCGGGTCGGGATATCCTTGACAGAAAAACCAAGAGCGTCAAATTCTATAGAGCAGTTGTCCCTAGTAAATTGACGGACAGATAGCAGATTGCAGACTAGAGATGGGACAACTAAGACATTATTAAGATGAAAATTGGACGCTGGTGTATGAAGAACATACTTGCCACGACATGAAATAGGAAGATGTGCACCATTGCCAACTGTAATGGAAGAGTGAGGAGGATGATGAGAGAGGAGTATACCATCCGAGGAGCTCATGTGGGAGGAGGCGTCGGAATCCAGGACCCAGGGATGCTGGCCTTGGAGATGCATCTGATTGAGTGCAGCGACAAGACCATCCTGGTTCCACATGGGAGTTGGTGGAGAGACGTGGAGCGGCACAAATGTCGTGGGGGGCTGCGGAGGCGTGAAGGCCGTGTGAGCCCAAGGAGGAGGGGCGCCAAGCACGCCTGGGCGCCAGCCGGCCTGCTGAGCCGAACGAGGGCCCTGTGGCGCCCATGGATTGTAGCAAAGCCAGGGGCCCATGGGGCGGTATTGACCAGTCTGGCCAATGCCGCCGCGCTGCTGCGCAGAGCCGCTGTTCCAGCACCGGCCCTTGCCCTTGCCCTTGCTGCCGCTGCTGTTGCCACCGCCACCGCCCTTGGTGCTGCCGTAGTCGGTCACGTGTGGGTTGTGTGGACCTCCAGTGTTGGCTGTGGCAGCGAGAGCACGGCACCCGCCCGGGCTGGTGCAGCCAGAGCCGACGGTGGTGAGGAGGGCGGTGCTGGCGACCATCTTTTCGTCATTGGCGAGACGGAGCTCCTTTAGGGCCAGCATGTCATGGGCCCTGGCGAATGTGGGAAGGACAGCGGAGTTGGCGATGTCGTCGGCGGTGTTGGAGAAGCGAGGATTGAGGCCGCGCAGAAGGGCGAGGACGAGCTGCGAGTCCTGGACAGGATGGCCGACGTCGCGAAGAGCGCGGCCTTGATCTTCAGCCGCTGGCAGTACGCCGATATGGTGCTGTCACCTTGCACCATGGAGTGAAATTCGTTGAGGAAGATGGCGCGTGGCTCCCGGTTGGCGTGGAAGATCCCTTCAATGGCCACCCACAGATCATGGGCGGTGGGATCGGCACTGTCCATGGCGAGGTCGAGGACGGAGTCGTCGACGGAGCCGGAGATCCAGCCCCGGACGCAGCACTTCGCGACATCCCACTGAGGATCATCAGGACGAGGGGGAGCAGAGCCATCGATGTGGGAGCGAAGGCCGAACTTGCCGCACAGCGACTTGAAGAAGAACGCCCACTTGGAGTAGTTGGATTGTAGGTCCAGCGTGAAAGGGATGTGGGACTTGACATTGACCGTGGCGTAGTTGTGAGCCACGATCGGGGCAGCAGCGCCGGTGCTCATGGCAGCCATGGTTGGGGTGCCTGTCGCGGGCAGGGTGCCGGCGTTGGTGGCCGAGGAGGAAGAGGCCATCGGAGATGAGAGGGGGAGTAGAACAGCCGGTGAGGGTGGACGGGCGCGAGGGAGACGCACGCGTTGGGCTGCTGCGCGAGCAGGAAGGGTCACGCGGGGGAAGGTGCGATCAGGGAGAGTCGCACGGGAGGAAAGGACAGGAAAATAGGATCTGATAGGCTGATACCATGTAGAGACACACCTCACACCCAATATGGGGGGTGACCTTCATATATATAGCCAATATGGCTGGGTATACAAGGAATACAATCAAGTATACATAGCAGGTGCTAATCATAGCTAATCACACATAGCCTTGCCTAATACAAACTGCGAAGAACATTGAGAATGCCTTCATATAAAAGACTTCTTATGTATAACTACGTAGGGTAATTTCATTGCCCATTTACTAGCATGACTTACTCGGTCATCTTGAATATAAGATCTTAATACACTTAGTGAGGAGAAATATTCTAACTTACTTAGGCACCTTATAAGCCTATAATGTTTACTTTAATCCAAATTGATTACAGACTAAAATAATTTGAGGAAGGAGATCTTGCCTTTGCCAACGGGTTAAGATAGATTGTCCACAAAAGCTCCTATTGCCAGTGCCATGCATCCTTCCTTCACCTGCCAAGGTAACATAATGCCCTAATTGCCAATGTCTTGTATCATCTGTCAGCATAATAGAACTTAACAATAATAGACTACACATGCTAAAATATGATAAAATGGATAATAATATGCAGCTCAACCAGTGTATCTTCAGTACAGAAGCATACACTTTCCATTGCCGCAGAAGGATCAATCTGAAAAACCATGACACAGTCAAAACATTTCTGTGTTCCAATAAAGATCAAAATAGGCACCAGCGCCCAGCGGTGAGGCTGTGATTAGGTCATAGGCTATGGACTATGAGGCTAGGCATTCAGACGCCAAGGTGACCATATGGTTAGGTCAAATTGGCATCATGAGTTGCTGACCCAGGACTCACCTCCTATCTGCCACATCCTGCTATTAAGGGTTTGTTCCTAGCTGCGATTGCTGAATCGCGAATTATTGAATTGCCAAGACTCCTTCATATAGCTTAGCAGTTTTACCATAGCCAGAATCTATCATTTTATTTCTATTCCTTATAAAGTTTCATTCTACCAAAATATCTTAGTTCAAAAATACACCATCTAAATACACATCTTCACTTTTTTCTGAACTACAGTATGGATCTAAAATACTAAGATGTCGCGCTGAAGTGCAATCTAACTTTTTCGTTACTCACAATTCATCAGTGAAATCCTGTTGCTCTTCAGTGTTACTAACATTTCTGTACGCAGACTGCTGGGTGATCATGGGCGAAGTAGTCTTGGGCCAGAATTTGAAGATATCCATGAAGCAATTACATCGACAAGAGTTTCGACGTCTTTTGAGATCTGTGCTCGTAGAATGCCTGAGTCAGTACCCAAAGTGGTACCAACCTCCCTAGCAACAGCCTCCCATGGTGTACCCGTTGTCAGATTTGCCAGTAGTTCACCTCCACGGTTCACTGCATCAGCCATTGCTGGTGGAACATCAGGAAGAACCTGAAGAAACACAACACAATTACTTTTTAAGAATTATAAAATCTTTGTTCCAGCAATGGCTTTGCCATTAGCTCTGAAACATGGAAGCCTGAAAAGAAAAATAGTACCTGTTGTAATGGTAGCCCATGATCCCCAGGAAGTGATCGAATTGACATATCAAGCAACGAGCTAATAGCTGCTTCGGAGCTTAGTACTTGTGCAAGGGTAGAGGTTTCATCAATTTGATCATCTTTGAACTTTATTAAGAGATTTCGAGAAATTCCATAGTAGGATTTTATCTAAAGAAAATTGTGATGCGCCAGTAAGACAACATGCATAGAACAATTATAGAATAATTCACATGAGAATCTTGGTTATTCAGCATAAACAGATTGAAACATAAACACATAAGAGAACCCGAAGATTGGTTATAAGTGAAACTTTGAACTGAGAATTCTGATAATCTCTAATAAATAGGTACTGACAGAGATGTCACAGGCTTACAGCACTGTAAAGCACCAGACACAATTTGAGATAATGTTCATAGATTTTATCTGTGTGTTGATAAACTCAATGTATGTTTAGAGAAGGTTTGATTAAACTCACATTAACTAGTATAACAATAACTGTCACCATTTCTCGCGTGGGTGGTTTACATATAATTTTACATTTCAAATATTCAAAAGAATAGTGCTAACATACCAGGCGGCGTGTCTCTTCTGGTTTTGGAATGAAGTCCTCCCGCCCTTGTACTAAGTCCATATACAACGGAGGAAGTTGTTGAAGTAAAGGTAGAAATTGCTTAACAACAGGCGGGCTTAGATTCTCAAGCTGCTTAATGGCTGCTTCTGCCTATTATGCCGAAATTATAAGCTAGTAAGCTACATATATTGAAGGTTTCAAGAAGGAAATATAAACGCATCCAGCTAGTCATCACATGAGAGCAATATATGTTATATGTTTAGGAGAGTGTCATCAGTTAGAATATTTAAGAAAAATAAATAGAATAATCTATAGAATTCTTAATTTCACATCCTTCAGTCATTGCTAACTGATGAATCTCAGGAATTATCTTCCATACTGAGTATGACACTTCTAAGAAATTTAGCTAAATGGAAGACATCAAGAGTCAAGACAGCAAATGGGGTAGAAGGGCCGAAATGGCAAATCATAAAGCACACTATAAAAAAGAGTGAAAAAAAATTCTAAATTTATATGGAATGTGTGCCACCTCAATTGACATTCTTACGAGTAGCAAATTCTCAATTTTCCAATAAGAAAAGTAAATGAATAGGATTCATCCAACAAGAAAAGTAAAAGGAGACAACTTGGCCCGAAAGAAAACGTATATGAAAATTCATCATACCATGGAGTGGAGAAGAAAAACAACCTCATACTATTTTCCACTTATCTTTCTTTTTTTTTTTAAAAGTCATGCCATTCCCATGTTTAAAAGTCAGAATTATGAAATAGAGTGCCCTACGAAGCTAAAAAATAATATCGTGGTAGTTTTGTGGTATTCAATAAAAGTTGTTATGCTTAATTGAACAGACAGGACATTCTAGTTAATACAGAAAAGTTCAAGATATATTTCTGTTATCCGTGACAGTCCGCAAAACAGATGCTACCCCAAAGTGAACATTGACAGTGCAAGCATGAAAAGGTAACCTGCATAATGTGTTAAACATTTCGAGGAACAGTGTTAACACCAAAGTCACAGAAACATATCGTACCCCAAATTGGATTGTTGGATATGATGTCAATTGGGACAATATCGGGCCAAAACTTTGTGCCATAGGAACAATTACAGGTGAAAATAGTGGGATTGCGGAGCTTGCCTCCTGCAACAAATGAAGAGCATATAAACTGGTAGTTTTTCCATAAGCATATTTTTTCTGGAACAGGCAATTTGAGAAGAAAAATACTTGGACACAACCTTCTCTAACTTGCAGTAGGGGATAAAACCCCTCCTGTTTTCATAAAAAAAAAAACTTCTCTAACTGGAAGCACAAAAAAAAAAACGAGATGGTGCCAAATGCCACCTGATAATGGCATATATGGTTCATATAAAACTAGTGTTTGCATGTCACATTCAAAGAGCCACATTGCATGTTAAAAATGATAGCACTGTTCTACGGACTCATACAAAACATCTCACATGTCTTTGGCATTTACATCCCATGATGTATGAAAATGGAACTTGAAATAGCAAGAAACATCTCAGCTAGTGAAGCAAAAACATCTGGAATATCCAGTTCTGTAGTATCACACGCAACCAATTATTTTAGATATGGTACTAGACATCCTACACTCAAATACCTGTTTCACGGACCAACTCCCTTATGTATATTGGGATGGAGGACTAAAACTGAGTCAAATTTGTAATGATACACGCAGCTAAAAGAAACAGTAACCATACCTACATGTGGATAGGATGAACGGCGAGATATGCAAAAACATACCTTGTTGTTAAAAGACATCAATACATTTCCACTTCGCTGCACAGCATATCTTGATCCTGGAATACAAACCATTAAGAAGACAAATTATACAATTGTAGCAAAAAGAAAAGGACAAAAAGACAGTATTTCATAAACAGAAATTGAAATCAGATGCAAGGTAAAGTTTTACCAATCAACATGTGGATAACAGATCCCAAGGAATGTCCAACACCAAATGTTGGGAGATCATTTACCTGTTTAAAATTTCATATACTTAGTACAATGGACAGGATCCTGATTTATTAAACAGATAGCTTTACTTACAGGCTCATCCAAGTTTCTCAAACACCTGTCAAACTTAAATTGAACTTCATCTGCGATGAAGAAATGGTCAAAGCCGCTCGCATAAGGCGTCGCAATCACCAAAGCTCCCCTAGAAAACGAAGAGATAAGTGAGCATTTTTGCACTGGAAGTAGGGATCCTAACTTTAGCTATACTAGAAAAAAAAAAATGAACAACTGTATAAGCCATAATGGAAGGAATTGGATTAGATCAGCAGTCAGGTAATGACAAAGTTATCTGTATTTTTTATCCATAGATGAACAAACATAGGAGTACTCCTTAAAGCTCACATGAACAAATGAGAAGATTAGTTCAGCAGTCGGCGGTCATGCTGTAAAGCGCCTTCGTTCTCAGGACATTCATGTGGCAATGCTTTGTTTGAGAAAACAAACTCAAAACACATGGAAGTACATCCCAGGTACAAAACTTGTGATGGGATAAGTCTCATGTGTTGGTCTTTGTGGGGCTGTGCTGGTCACATGGTCTTTGTGGTTGCATGGTCTGTTTTCAGGACAGCATCTTAGACTAGCATCTAGAGGACAGCATCTTAGCATCTAGGACAGCATCTTAGACTAGCATCTTAGACTAGCATATTGGCATATGCTTGGCTGGCTAGCAGCCTATAAATATGTATCCCCAACCCCTCGGGTTGGCATGACATTTGTGTGAGTTTGTGTGAGAAATAAACCAGAAAATTGCCCTAACTCCTAGTGTCATCCTCTCTCGATGAGAGTATGAATTCTGCTACTACCGAGAGTGAGAGTGCAACTACTAACAACTGGTATCAGGCCGTACTATCCTGTAGCCTGAGCATCTCCTGCTCATCTCCTCTCCCAGCCACACAACAGCCCCAGCTGCGAGCAGCAGCTCCGGCCGCTCCTGCTCACTCCTCCCCGGCTATGCTCGTGCAGCAAGAGCCCCAGTGAAGCGTCATGTCCCCGAGGCGATCTCGGCCTTCGGTCGCCTCGAGCACGCTGGCGTCGGCGAGGAGGCCGAACTTGCTGCGCAGAGAACGCATGATGGCAGCAGCAGAGATTTGGCGGCGGGCAAAGCGTCGAGGTCGCGTAAATGGCGGAGGCGGCAGCAGCGAGCGAGCGAGGCGGAAGCAGCGGCGGCGGCTAATGCAGCGCGTGCGGCGGCAGCAGAGGTCGAGGCCCTGCGCGGCAGCATCAGCAGCTCCGTTTCTGCTGACGACACCGCCGACGCGGACCTCGAGCTGCTAGAGAGGGAGGCGGCAGCATGAAGCGCTGGCGCGATGAAGGGCAGCCGCAAGACGCCACGCAGCGTGGCGGCAGCCCGACAAACAGCGCGGACGCAGCTGGCGGCGCTCTGGGCAGCAGCGCAAGACGCCACGCAGCGGCGGCGGCGAAGCCCAGACAGCGCGACGCGGCAGCGCTCTGGTGGAGGCGCGCGCGACGCGGCGGCGCGCCTGGAGGAGGCGCGCGACGACAACGGTGGCGACGGTCGATGGAGAGCGCGGCCTTTCACAGCAGCGTGACTCTCTCCACGGATCGGTACAAGCGGGCGATGGAGAGCGCGGCCTTCACGGCGGCGTGGCTCTCTCCCCGGATCGATCTGAAGTGGTTACCACGGGCTCCAGTCGTTGTCGGGGCGTCGGTCCCGGCGGTGGGTGGCCTACCCTCACCAAGACCAACTACGCCGAGAGTGGGCTGCGGTGATGAGGGTAAAAGCTCGTGTGTAGCACATGTGGGAGGCGGTCCGATACGGCGGGCGTCGACCACGACCTAGATCGACCAGGCGTTGAATGCCCTCATCGCTGCGCGCCCCGCCGAGATGCGATTTCGCTTACCAACAAGCGGATCGCCAAGGAGGCTTGGGCGCCATCATCGTCATCGACGCACGCGCGGCGGCGGCGATCCGCGCCGCAAGTCCACACTGCGAGCACGCCGCAAGGAGTGGGAGAACACGCCTTCAAGCCATGTGAGGGCGTTGATGACTTTGCTCTCCGTCTCAACACTCGCTGCGAAGAAGATGGTGCGATTCGGCGATGACACACCCACGGCGAGAGAGAGCCGTCGAAAAGCTCTTTCGGCTGCGCCCCCGAGAAGTACAAGCAGATGGCTCGCTCGATCGAAGTCTCTGCTGGATCTCTCCACGATGTCGATCGAGGAGGAGATAGGTCGTCGCCAAGGGTAAATCGGCGATGATGATGAGCCTGATCTCTCTCGGGGCCCATCACCACCTGGCGGGAAGCTCCTTCTCACTGGGAGGGCGGTGGCTTGCCGGCCAAGGTGGCCGGAAGAAGGGAGCCTTCTTCCGCGACAAAGCGATATAAGCGTGGCAAGCCACGCAAAGCGCGCAGAGACGCCCAGGCGAAGCGCGAACGCGTCGAGGGTGATGCCCGCGAGGCGCCAGGGGCGGGGCATTGGCGCAGCACAAGCCGGCACGAGACGACGCGATGCCGCGAATCGCGCGCCGGCTTGACCATTGGGCCAAGGGCTGCCGCCGATACCACGACGCGGCCAGCCCACGTTACCAAAGCGGAGGAGGAGGGCGGCTCTGTTCATGGCACATGCAAGCATCGAGCTACCTCCGGTGCACCCGCCGCAGCTGCCCTCCTCCACCTTGACGAGCCAAAAGCACACGCCCTCCTCGGCGACGGCTCCAATGACGACAAAGCCCGACGGGTGGTGCCTCGACACGGTGCCACCCACCACATGACCGGTCGACGGGAGTTCTTCACCGAGCTTGACTCTAGCGTCCCGAGGCTCCGTCAAGTTTGGGGATGCCTCGGCGTGGAGATCAAGGCGTCGGCTCCGTCATCTTCACCGCTGCGTGTCACGGTGAGCACAGTACGCTCACCGGAGTCTACTACATCCCAGCGTTGAGGAACTCCATCATCGACTTGGGACAATTTGGATAAGAACGGTTCGCGTGGTGGTTGAGGACGGAGTCATGAGGATTTGGGACCGTCGTCGTCGCGCTTCTTGCCAAGGTATCCGTAAGCGCAAATCGACTCTACGCCCTTAACGTGCGGTGGCACAACCCTCTGTCTCGCCGCTCGTCGGGACGACGGCGTGGCGATACGTACGCAGCGTTCGGGCACCTTCACTCACGAGGCCCCAAGCGGCTCGGTGCCACGGAGATGGTGCGAGGGCTGCCGTGCCTCGACCATGTGGAGCGGCTCTGCGACGTCTGCGTGTTGACGAAGCGGCGGCTCCCTTTCCCCAATGGGCGAAGCCGAGCCAAGGAGAGGCTCGAGCTTGTGCACGGGGACTTGTGTGGTTTCGGTGACACCGCCACACCGGGAGACGACGCTACTTCCTGCGCCGCTCGTCGTCGACGACCTCTCCCGCTACATGTGGGTGATGGTCCTCGGCAAAGCAAGGAGAGGTCGCGGACGCCATCAGCGGCGTCATCGCGCTGCTGAGGCGGAGTCGCGGTCGCAAAGCTGCAGCGTCGCGCGCCTTGACCGACAATGGCGGTGAATTCGCGTCGTCTTCTGCCGACGAGGGCATTTAGCGCCACTACTCCGCGCCGTCTGACCCAGCAGTGAACAGCGTCGTCGGCGGCGCAACCAGACGGTTGTGGGGATGGCTCGGGCCCTCCTCAAGCGAGAGGGATGCCGGTATCTTTTCCGGGAGAGGCGGTGGTGACGGCCGTCTACATCCTCAACCGCTTTCGCCTACCAAAGGCGCTCGGCGGCAGGACGCCGATGAGGCTTGTTATGGGCGCAAGCCGCGGTCTCTCCACTTGCGGGTCTTGGCCGCCTCCGTTCGCCAAGGAGCTTGGCCACATCAAGAAGCTTCGGCGACAAGAGCACTCGGGAGTGTTCGCCGGCTACGGAGGGCTCAAGGCCTACCGCATCCTTGACGAAGACATAGCGTGTGCGCGCGCGGCGCGCGGCGTTGTGTTCGACGAAGGCGAGGATGGGCGTGGGACAAAGCGGTGGGCGACGGCTTCGGCTCCGACGCACGACGACTTCTTTGTCACGCCGAGTACGTCCACCGAGGAGGCGGGGAGTAAGCGGCTCTTCTTGGCGAAGCGCGTCTACCCGATCCCCGAGCCTCCACCGACCCCGGCGCTGCTACTACATCAGCGACAAAGACCACGCTCTCCGGCCGGGACCTGGCTGCGATGAGTTCTTCGCCGGCTCCACCACAGCCGGCAACGCCACGCACTCCAGCACCGACAGGCACCACTCCGGGCACGTCTACTCCACCACTAGCTCGTGTCGAGCACGGCCCGGTTGAGCTCGCTACTCCGCTCTCTCACGACGAGGAGCGCATCGACGCGTACCACGACGACGAGCCGTTGCGGTACCGTACGATGGAGAACCTTCTCGGTGACCAGCCGGTGCGGGACCGATGCCCTCACGACCTAGAGGCGCAGTTGCACCTTGCGTGTGACGACGGCGAGCCTCGGTCGTTTGCAGAGGCCGAGAGACACGCGGCATGGCGCGCCGTGATGCAGTTGGAGATAGATGCGGTTAAGAAGAACCGCACCTGGAAGCTTGCTGACCTTTCTCGTGGTCACCGCGCGATCACCCTTAAGTGGGTGTACTGTCGAAGAGGATGAAGCCGGTGCCATCGTCAAGCACAAGGCTCGCTTGGTGGTACGAGGTTTCGCGGCGGCGGCGGGGGGGGTCGACTTCGACGACGCCTTTGCTCCGTGGCACGGATGGAGTCCGGCGACTCCTCCTTGCGCTTAGCGCCTGGAGGGCTGGCGTGTTCATCACATGGACGTCAAGTCGGCGTTCTTAATGGCGACTTAAAGGAGGAGGTCTCGTGACACCACCGCCAGATTTGCGATCCCCAAGACGGAGGGTAAGGTGCTCGCTTGCGCAAGGCCCTCTATGGCTTGCGCGGTAGAACGCGAGGCGTGGAATGCCAGTCTGGATTCCACGCTAAAGGGATGGGCTTCGAGCAAAGCCCCCGCGACGAGACGGCCATCTCACCGGCGGGCAAAGTGGAGGAAATGCTCACCGGTGGGTGTGTCACGTTGACGACTTGGTGATCACCGGTACCAAGGATGCGGAGGTGGCGGCATTCAAGGAAGAGATGAAGGCCACCTTCCGGATGAGTGACATGGGGCCTCTCTCCTTCTACACGGGAATCGAGGTGCACCGGGATGACTCGAGATCACGCTTGACTGGACCGCCACGCCAAGCTGGCGTCGTTGAGCTAATTTGGGCTCACCGATGCGCAACCCAGCTCTCACTCCGATGGAGGGAGAGGTGGTCGAGCTGCGACAAGACGCGGCGGAGGAGGTGGGCCTTCTGCGATCTGCGGCGTCTTGTGGGGAGCCTTCGCTACCTCGCCCACACACGGCCGGACCTGGCATTCTCCGTCGGCTACGTTAGTCGGTTCATGCAGCGACCGACAACGGAGCACCAGCAGGCTATGAAGAGGATCATCCGCTACGTTGCGGGGACTCTCGACCACGGCCTCTACTACCCTAGGTGCCCTGGGGCGGCACACTTCGTCGGGTATAGCGACAGCGACCACGCCGGCGACATCGACACCAAAGAAAAAGCACGAAGCGGGATCCTCTTCTTCCTCGGCAAGTGCCTCGTTAGGTGGCGATCGGTCAAGCGGCCAGTGGTGGCTCTGTCATTGCGAGGCCTAGTACATAGCGACCTCCACCGCTTCGACTCAGGCGCTCTGGCTCGCTCGACTGCTTGGTGATCTCCTCGGCAGAGACACTAGAGCGGTGGAGCTCAGGGTGGACAGCAAGTCCGCTCTGGCCCTGGCAAAGAACCCCGTCTTCCATGAACGCAGCAAGCACATCGGGTGAGGTACCACTTCATCCGAAGCTGTTTGGAGGAAGGGAGCATCAAGGCGAGCTACATCAACACCAAGGACCAGCTTGCGGACCTGCTCACCAAGCCCCTTGGGAGGATCAAGTTCCTTGAGCTCTGCTCCAGGACCGGGATGGTTCGACTTTCTCACAAGACGACGCACAAGACTTAGGGGGAAAATGATGGGATAAGTCTCATGTGTTGGTCTTTGTAGAGCTGTGCTGGTCACATGGTCTTTGTGGCTGCATGGTCTATTTTTAGGACAGCATAGGACAGCATCTTAGACTAGAGAACAGCATCTTAGACTAGCATCTAGAGGACAATATCTTAGCATCTAGGACAGCATCTTAGACTAGCATTTTAAACTAGCATATTGACATATGCTTGGCTGGATAGCAACCTATAAATATGTATCCCCAATCCCTCGGGTTGGCATGACATTTGTGTGAGTTTATGTGAGAAATAAACCAGAAAATTGCCCCAACTCCTAGTGTCATCCTCTCTCGATAAGAGTAAGAATTCTGCTACTACCGAGAGTGAGAGTTCAACGACTAACAACTTGAGCTAACTCTCTGTACTTTTCATAAAGTTCAAATATTGCTCTTCCTTGATGACAAGAGTATCACAAAGCTCATTCGTCAAAAATAATAAAATAGCTCATAGGAAACAAACTTGGGTGGTTTGACACTGCTTTTAAACATACCTGTTCGCGAGACACTCGAGGAAGAAGCGGTATGTGATCTGGGGAGCGGCTCCGACAAAAATTCCTCCAACAAAGTGGACAACAAATGATGGCTCTGAGGACTTCGGTCTCAACACCCATGCTCCCTACCATAACAATCAGCACTGATCAGTAACTTTTATTATGTATCTAGATATATCGTATATCTATGTGCATAACAAAAGCTATGTATATAGTATTTAAAAAGCCAAAACGACCTATAATTTGGACAGAGGACGGTGTAATCCGGATATAAACACAGAACTCAACCGCAGTGAAGGAGAGAGCCACCGAAACGCACCTCGACTTCGGTCCAATCTCCAGTCGAACCCCAGCCCTCCCGGGACTGCTTTGCCGCCTCCGTGATCACCCTACGCGCCGTCCCCCCAACAGCGAGGTAAGAGCGGGGCCGAGGTTCGAGAAGAACAGATGAAACTACGGAATGATCCACCGCCTACCTCTCGATCTGGGAATAGAGCTGTATCGACCCGTCCGAAGGCGCCGCGGAGGTCGGTGGCGCGGCGGGGCGGGTCCCATCTGCGTCCGGAGACGAGCAGCACGAGATGGCGCGCCTCCGCCTCCTCCCCCTCCCAATCGACGCCGCGACTCTACCCCGCGACCCCGTGAAGAGGCGCGCGGACGACGCCGAAGCCGCGCCGCCGCACCCGCGCACCCGCACGGCTGACGACAGTGGCTGAGACGCCGACGCCATCCTTATCATCTCTCCCGCGCCCCCCGACTCCTGCCGCCGCGATAGCCGTACGTATTTTTCTCGTTGCGTCTCCGCTTCAACCACCAGCTGGAGTGTCACGCGGCACGCGCCCGCGACACTCGGAGCGGAGTGCGTGCGGCGACTGGCGAGCCCGCCTCGTAACCGCCAGCGCGGCACGGGAGCCGCACGATGCCAACAGACGGGGGCGTGCGGACCGTCCGATTTCCGTCCCTCAGGAGCGACCCGACTCGTCGTCGGACGGGTCAAACCCCGCAAAAGTACCTCCGACTTCGTTCCCGTTTGGCTTACGCTGCACACCACTCCGCAGCGTACCGCACCGGCACACGTATAGCTTTGCTTCCACGCCTAGTCGCCTACAGCTTCAGCTTGAGGCGGCTGCTCACCGGCAGCGCAGAACGGACGACTGGACGAGAGATGCAGCGACGTGCGGACGATGAGGGAGGAGAGGGGCCGAGCTGTTCGAGCACTGACGGAAACACCAGCAGCGCTAATGCGAGCACGAGCTCGAGCACCGCTGCTAGCAGCGGCGCGAGGCGGAGCGGTGGCGCGACGGAGGGGCGGGAGAGCAGCCCCAGGTCGGCGCCCACCATCAATCTAAGCCAGGAGTACAGGCTCGCCATCCACACCCAGTCCTACCAAGAGATCTGGGATAAGATCCACGTAGACGGGGGCGGGGACGAACAACGGGAGGAGGGCTTCGGCGGCAACGGCGAAGAGGAGGGAGGAGAGGAAGGAGAAGAGGGGGAGGACAGGGTCACCCTGGCCGGCGTGCTCCGTCCGGAGGACGCGGTGGTGGAGTGCGCTCTTTCAGACGCGCCCGGCACGGAGCTCACCCGCCTCGCCGCGGACTACTTCCGCAGCACGCACCACGCGTCGCTGCTATGCCTCTCGCTCCGCCGGGCGCTCCGCCGCGCGCGGGCGCTGTACGGGCCCATCACGGACCTGCTCGCGCTCATCCCGCACTCGCCGCAGCTCGCCGCGCCGCACTGCGACTGTGCGTTCGACGCCTTCCTCCTGTTCGACCAAATGCCCAATCCGTTCCCGGCGCCTGCGGCCGGGTTCCAGGGCATGCGCCGAAGCTTTGATGGCCTCAAGAACCACCTCGACCTTCGCCTCCTCAGTGTCCGACGCAGGCGCCGTTGGCTCCGCTGCGCCAAGCGCGGGTCAGGTATCTGCCTCATCGCCTGTGCCACCGGCGCTGCCGTCGCAGGCCTCGTGCTTGCGACACACGCCATTACCGCACTGCTGGCGACGGCCCCTGCTTGTATTGCATCCAATTCTTCCTGCTGTCCACTGGCTGCCTCGATGAAACGCCTGCAAAAGCACATGGACCGGCTCGACGCCACGGCCAGGGGCACCTACGTCTTGAACAATGATGTGGCCACAATTGAGCGGCTGGTGGGTAGGCTCCATGCCACTGTGGAGAGCGACAAGATGCTTGTCTGCCTTGGGCTGGAGCGCGGGAGGGGGCAGCACCACACCATAGAAGAGGTGGTATGGCAGCTCAGGAAGAACCACCCTAGCCTGCTACGACAGCTTGCTGACCTTGAGGAGCATATTTGCCTCTACTTTGCTGCCGTCAACCGTGCCAGGTTACTCCTTGTACACCACCTGAATGCGCAGTATGATATGCTGAAACTGAGTCTCCAATGTCATGACTCATGAGTTTATGAGTCTCAAGACCTCATTAGCCCCAAGCAATCTTACACTGGGTCACCATGATCATGAGTTTGAGTCTTAACCATTAGCCATATCTTTCTTGAAGAATTAGTTCATGTTTCGCGCCAAATGATGCACAAATTTCTTGTTTTAATAGTTTAGACCTTTTTATAGTTCGATACATTTGATCTTCTGTACTTTCAGAATTATTACTGTGGCATTGTAACAATGCTATGTTCTGAATAGACACAAAGTCTTAACATTCTAAGAACCGAATATTTGGAAAATTGCCTCCATATATTATCATGACAGTTATGTTGCAAGCAATGTGTTGCTTCTGCTTTTCAGAGTTGCCTCGAATACTCAATCAATCTTTGCATCGCCTATTATATCTGCATTGGGGTTTTCAAACTTGAAAGGGTCATCTTGCTTGCAGTATTAATATTGGGTGCCAAGTTTAGTATGAAATTCCATGTTGCTTAGTTGATTAAGGAATTCTGCAATGATAATGCTGCGAAAATTGTTCTAAGTTTAACCTATAAACGTTTGTCAGTGGTCACTGGTCAGTGATTAGTTTGGTTGAATTGAAAACATCCTCTTGCTTGCAGTGTTGATAGTGCGTGTTTATGATTTGTCAATCTTCACTGATAAACTTTCCTTTTGCACCTTCAGTTTTTTTTTTTTTGTGTGTTTTTATTTTCTTTTTTTCTACCAGGCACTTGGTTCTATGCTTTGCAACTGGATAGAATTCGTACTTTTTTTCTGCATTCTCATGGATTTTACCTGTAAGGAATGGTCCTGGAAATATCACTGTACAGTCTGTATTCAGTATGACCCTTGGAACATTTGGCTGGGTGCAGATTATTGTTACACGATGCTAGTAGTTAGCATTCTAAGTAAATCTTTGGAAGTTTAATTGACAATCCTATTACTAAGTTGAAAGTTTTGCAATTGTCTCCACATTGAGCAGAGAAGCAAAGTGGCTTATGTTTCTTGTGTTTCACACATTGCTGGTATGGTGATTCTTTAAACTGGACCTGCGAGGGTATGACCACCCCCAGACATTGCATTAAGAAGAAGACCTTCTCACGCAGGCCCAGAAAACCCCCTGAACCCCTGCCCTACCCTTACACAGCGGCACCGTCGTCCTATGAGAACGGGCCGGTCCTTAGACCTGTGCTTTGGTGTGGGACAGACGAGGGGATTTTTTTAACCCCAACCTGAAATTCGCTCCCACGGGGAGTCAACCCAGGACCTGAGGAGTGCCGCCGGGACGCTCTAACCAGTTGGACTAGAGGCCCTTTGGGGGACTAGTAAGGGGAAAACCTTGCAATTGCAACTTAGAATCTGATGTTGCGGAAGCAACTATCTACAAAGAGTAGGTTCACAGGCCCACAGGGTTATGGCCTTATTGGAACTGACAGTTCAGTTTGAACTTAACTAGTATTCAACTTTGCATCTAGAGAGATCCATTCGAATGAGTTTCGATCCCCACAGCTACACTTGATCGTATCCGCTTTCCAATCCCCAAAGATAGATTTAGATCTGCAGTTCTGCACTTCGTCAGTCGTTGCTAGATACTTCCAAATATTACAGGCAATACTGTTTGCTCGATATTTATGTTGTCCTGTAATGTCATCCTTCTCTTGCAACCAGCCGGGCTACATTGAATTCTATGAAAAATACAAACCTAGCTGGGAATTCTCTAGTTTATACAGTTGATATTTTAACACAATTCGGCAAATCATGATATAATCGCTTCCCCTTGGTATTGTAATAGTATGCTACCATAGTGTATTTTCCATATTCTAGGAGTGAGAATCTTAACTCAGAAATTTGGAATCAGTAATCCTGTTCTTTCAGTTGTTGCTACTTGTGTACTTTGTTGAGTTTCAGCTGGATACATGCAATGCAATGCAATTATATATTTCAGGTTTGTAGGACGAGGAACTGATGTACCCTTGCCCTGCTGCAGAGAAAATATGGTTTTCTGCTCCATTGCTTTGTTCTCCTCACCGCAGCATCCATTTCTGGTGTCGACTGTTGATTGTTTGCCACCGGGCTACCCAGCACAGCACAATGCATCATAGTCCATGATTGGTGGTTGCTACGTAGAAGAAATTTTAGCTCAATCTTTTTCTTTTGTTTTACAATAGGGTATTGGAAGGGCGGGCCTGGTACAAGCGGTAGAGTGGGCCTGGTACAAGCGGTAGAGTCTTACCGCCTGTGATCGGAAGGTCTCGGGTTCGAGTCGCGGTCTCCTCGCATTGCACAGGCGAGGGTAAGGCTGGCCACTGACACCCTTCCCCAGACCGTGCACAGAGCGGGAGCTCTCTACACTGGGTACGCCCTTTACAATAGGGTATTGCATCGCTCCCAGATGTAGGTCATTTTAGTTTTGTTATACAGGTCAGACTTCTTTATGCTGAAACCAAGTTTCTAGGAAAATATATTAGCAACTATGATACCAAATAAATGCACTATTAAACATATTTCATGATGGATTTCATGAAACTACTTGATGCTGTATATTTTTTTGTGTATTTTTCAATACTAGTATAGGGCTCGCGCCATCACGCGCGTAGGTGAGGATAACGTTAGGCTTCAATCTGTCTGAACTTGTACTATGGCCTTCGTGCGGGATGAAGTAATATATTAAAGTTAATTGCTGGGATAGATGTAAACAATGAATATGAATTGTAGTTGAAATGCAGGTGCTGGTGCGAATTGAAATTTGATTTACAGACCAAGACGCGGTTCACAAAGAAATAGGGTAGCTTGTTTTTTAGATGGGCAGGAACTATGTACAATTGCATGTGATCGACGAAGTTATAACTGGTAGCACAATAAGGAAGTATTGGTGACCTTCGGCAGTAAAGTCTGAACATGCTGGAAATTGTTGAGGGAGCAACAGGCCAATTGGATTGTTCCCAAAAGTGATCTCAGTTTATTGGAGCAGGCCTTTGGTTTGAGTCAATGCGTAACATGAGCTTCATTGCTTGCGATTGTATGGTTTTCATTGGCTGTGTTTTCTTCAGTATTTGAGCAACGGCATACCTATGTCATCCTAGGTACTCAGATTTTGTACAAATTCAGTTGCACCTACAAAGAACCAAATAAATATTGGAACAAAAGGTTTACAGGGAGTAGGAGAATTGACTGGCTTCAGTAGTTAGATGAGAGGAGCAGGATCTGTACCTGACGATCCAGAATTTTGTTGGAGCTGAGACGATCAGAGCAGGTGCCAACTTGAATGGCTAGGGATGACATATTTAAATGGCATTGTATGTGTACTGAAGGAAACCTATGTATTGGCCTGATGGGTTGCATAATTACCCTACAGGAAGCAGTGAAGCAAATAATATTTCAGAAATAAATGCATGAATTCAGCTGTACTTACAAAGAACCCATGGGAAATGATATATTATTTCAGCAAGGTAAAAGAACTCTAAACATGTATGACTATAAAGAAGAAATTTCCACATCCTGAGTCCATGTTGCAGCCCTACACCTATATGCACCAGCAATGATATATTGTTTCAGCAAGCTAAAAGAACTCTAAACATGTATGACTATAAAAAAGAAATTTCCAGAAGAAGGCTATGGTAGAGCGCACCAAAAAAACATTTGCTACATCTAGTATTGCAGATCACTTAGATCTTGACCTTTTTCATGATAATGCTTTATCCTCCAAAAAATATTCTGTAGATGAACTCTGCTAAAGCAAACAATGCAGAGAACTCCAGTGATCTATTGACAATCTATATTACTCGTCAACTTATACTCTAACAGCTTTTATTCAGCTTTTGGAAACAACGTGGCCGTCGAGATCATTTGGTGTAACAGAATTGTTGCCACGTGCATGAGTACAGAAGGTAAAATAAGAAAAGGAATATGTATCTTTTAGAACCTAATAATCTAATAAGGAATTATGGTTTTCTCATTAGTTATATTAGCTACCTAAAACAATTAATCTGCAAATAAGGAAAAAGTAAAAGTAAATCCACAAATTGAAAGGTTTAGGAGACTAACTGAAGTCTGGAAGGTCAAGTAAAATTGTTGTCAGGACCTTGTTACATAATTTGTGGAAAGTCTCCTTGATGCAAATCAAACCCGACTCAATGAACATATGGAAACGTCAATCTGAACTTTGAGTTCAAGTGTATCTATACCTTTGTAGCAGTCAATGATTTTGTTGATGCATAAATGGTGTGGAATCAACCTGCAAATGAACAAAGACGCCAGAAGGCATGGGAATGAACTACAGCATTAAATAGATAGGCCTCTTGCTGCAAATCTGAAACATGAATATAACATGGACCTCTATACAACAACAACAACAACAACAGAGCCTTTTAGTCGCAAGCAAGTTGGGGTAGGCTAGAGTTGAAACCCAACATGAGCCCCTAGTCATGGTTCAACATGGACCTCTATGTTTGCAGGAAATATGTTTAGGCGAAGATAGCTCAGTAAAATATTAGCACAGTGATGTAAAAATGAAGCATAGCAGATAGCAACCGAACAACCTGCTGAGATAATTTTGTGTAGACAAACTGCAGTGATGCCATGAAAGCAAGACTAGGAGCATTTTCTCTTAGATGGAGCTCGACGATGCAATTCTTTTTTTTTTCATGTAAGGAGTAGCTGGCAGAAATGATGGCAATTTATTATGAGCCAATTTAACCATGATTATCTAGGACAGAGAATAAACATTACAATCAAAAACTAATATCTATGCTTGTTAACATGGATGGTCAAGTTAAACATCTAACACATAACAGGCACAGCTAGGTAGCTTATGCATTTATCCTGTCGTCGTCATGTACATGTTCCCATAACAAGAAAAACATAAACAGTATGAGTACGGTGTCAAACACTGCTACATCTAGGAAAATGGATGGCCCTTGTCAGTACCCATAGGCAGCATGAATATAGGGACTTAGAAACAGAACACTCTAAAAGTTACTGTTCTTCCACTGTGTATGTTGTTGTCGGTACCCACAGCA